TTTTGTACGGGGTTTTGGGGGAGGAGCTGTATATGCTTCCACCTGACGGGATGCAGATACAGAAGGGAATGGTCTGTAAGCTGCGGAAATCCTTATATGGTCTCAAGCAGAGTGCCAGGTGTTGGAACACAAAACTCACTGAGACGTTGCTTTCTCTAGGTTTTCACCAGGGCAAAGCTGATCCATGTGTGTTTGTCAAGGAGGAGGGGCAAAACAAAGTGTATTGTTTATGTTTTGTTGATGATCTTCTGATGTTTTGGAAGAATCAGGCTTTGTACCAAAGCACCCTAGCTCAGCTGAAGGAGCACTTTGACATGAAGGATCTTGGTGAGGTATCCAACTATCTTTCTCTGCAGGTGGAGAGGGACCAAGCAGGTAATTTTCTGGTACACCAAACACAGAAAATTGCTGATGTATTAACCAGGTTGAATTTGGTTGATGCAAACCCAGCAGACACACCGATGGTGACAGGTTACCAGGTAGATAGTACTGCTGAAGCGTTTTCTGACACAACGCTGTACAGATGCATTCTAGGCAAGCTGAATTTCATTGCTAGATGTTCAAGACCTGACATAGCTGTAAGCTGTAACCTGCTTAGCAGACATGCCAACAATCCAACTGTTCAGGATTGGAAAGCTCTGAAGCCCATAGCCCGCTATTTGAAAGGGACTTTGCACTACAGGCTGAAGTTCACCAGTCAGAAGACTGGAGGTCTTGAAATCTTTGCAGATGCTAGTTTTGGAAGTGACACCACGGATGGTACAAGCACTTCTGGAGTATGCTACATGTACAACCACTGTCTGTTTGACTGGCTGTGCAAGAAGCAGACAACAGTAAGCCTAAGTTCCTGTGAAGCAGAACTCAATGCTCTGTCATTTTCACTCATGGATTGTGAGTGGTTGATGCAACTGTTTCAGGACATCAGAGTTTCTGTGAAATGTCCTATACAAGTATATCAAGACAAGAGATCCTGTTTGGCTTTGCTGAACTCAAAGAGTTGCAAGCAAAGAACCAAGTACTTGCAGATTAAGCTACATCGTGCAAGAGAGTGTATTCAGAAAGGACTCATTTAGGTGTCCTACATGGCAGGAAATGAAATTCCTGCTGATCTGTTGTCTAAGGTTGTTAACAGAGAACAACTTAAGGTTTATGTACAGAGGTTACAATTGGGTTGAACCACAGGTACTACAGGTTACACAGAAAGGGGGAGGATGTTAGGATATTTCTGTTCCACCTTAAAAGGGAGCAGGATGTTTGTGTCACAGCCTGCGTATTTCCTGTTCACAGGATGTTTCTGTTGTGTCTATGCTTTCGTTTTCTCTCTGTGCCTGAGACACCGAAGCAGGCAGTCATGTTTTCTTTGTTCTGACCAACGCTGAATAAAATTGTAAATAATGCTCTCCTGAGTGCATCTTTCGCTGTGCATTATCTGCTGATAGAGCGTGCATCAGCTCTGGAATGTGGCAAGCTATTTCTGGAGCTCGTGTTGCTAATTGCTGATACTGTATCTACGGGAGATCGATGGATCGTCGGGAGGCGACGTGAAGTCATGATGGACTTTGTCTCCCTGGCAGTATCCCAACATCGCATACAGGCGGTACTCCCACAACCGCTGCAGCACGGTCCGGACATGACCCTTGTGGCGAGCTGGGTCACATGAGAAAACCAAAATGTCATCCAAGTACACCACCACGTACTTGTCTAGCAAGTCCTGGAACATGTGGTTGATGGACCGTTGGAACACCGCGGGCGCGTTGCACAATCCGAAGGGCATGACCAGGTATTCCAACTGCCCATACCGGGTCCCGAATGCAGTCTTCCACTCATCCCCGGCTCGGATCCGAATTAAATTGTAGGCCCCCTGGAGGTCTAGCTTGGTGAACACCTGCGCCCCTTGCACCTGCTCCAGCAACTCCGAAATAAGGGGCAAGGGGTACCGGTCTGGGATGGTAATTTTGTTCAGGGCCCGGTAATCATGGCAAAGGCGAAGCTCCCCACATTTCTTCTTAACAAAGAGCACTGGCGCAGCGGTAGGCGAGGTAGAAGGCCGAATGAAACCACGCTCCAGGTTCTTGTGCAGGAAGTCCTGCAACGCTTCGCGCTCTGGCTCCGTAAGAGAGTATAAGCGACTCACCTGGCAGGGGCGCTCCGGGCTGGAGGTCTATTCCGCAGTCAAAAGACCGATGCGGCGGCAGCTGGTCTGCCCCCCGTTCCTCGAACACGTCTTGTTAGTCCCAGTACTCAGTGGGGAGCGTTGATGCAGCCTCCTCAGTGGGCGCGGCTGCTAGCATCTCGGACCGATCATGGGGACATGGGTCTGGGAAATACACAGTCCGATTGACCCAGTCAATCTGAACATTGTGAGCCTCTAGCCAGTCCATCCCAAGCACCAGGGGGAACCGGGGAATGGTAGCAATGTCCAAAGTTCGCACCTCCCGGTGCTGCTGGAGACACAAGACCAAGGGCTGTGTCTCTCAAGTGACGGCACCCGAACGCAAGAGCCGTCCATCAATTGCCTCCACCTGTACTGGTTCTAGCTTGTACTGAAGTGGCACCTGATGATGAGCAGCAAAGGCAGCGTCCATATAGGAGCGGGTTGCCCCCAAATCTACCAGAGCGTGGGTAAGAATCCAGGGCCCACCTGGCGGGTAAAGACGCACCGGAACCATGAGATGTCACAATTCCACTGTTGTGGGCCCCTCTTGCATGGTTTGGGACCCCAGGTTGCCAGGCCCTTCAGCTACCGAGGTTGGCGGTTTCCCTGCGGCTGGCATCTTCTCGGGACAGGACCGGGCGTAATGTCCACTCCCACTGTAGTAGAGACACAGGTTCCCCTCCTGACGCCGCGTCTTCTCCGAGGGGGAGAGGCGAGGTCGCGCAGCCCCAAGTTGCGTTAGCTCGTCTGGCAACTCGGCTGTGGCCGTGGACCTGCTGGGAACAACTGGAGCCAGGAGCCGGGAGTCCTGGCGGTCCCGGGCCTGGCGACGGTCCTCCAACCGATTGTCTATCTGCAGGCTCCGCTGAATGAGGGCGTCCAGCGTGGTGGGACGATCCATCGTGGCCAATTGATCCAGTATCTCGTCCGACAGTCCCTCAAGATACTGGTCCCGAAGTGCAGCGTCATTCCAAGACAAGTCTTGCGCCAACAGCCGAAATTCTGTGGCGTAGGCGGTGGCTGTGGACTTGTCCTGTCTCAACTGCCGAATCGCCCGATTGGCTTGGCTCTCCTTCAGAGGGTTGCCAAACGCAGTCTCTAAGTGGTTACAAAACCCCACATAGTCTGTTAGCAAAGGAGAGTCTTGCCGAAGCAGTGGCAAAGCCCACTTGGCCGCCTGGTCCTTTAACAAACTGATCAAAAAGTGCACCTTGGTGTGGTCGTCAGGGAAGTTCCGGGCTCGCCCCTGAATATACAACTTGGCCTGGGCGAGGAACATGGGAAAGCTGGCCAGGTCCCCATCAAATTTCTCTGGCAAGGCCACTGGGTACTTGCCTGGAGCTGGGGCGTCGGCCCCAGGAGCTGGTAGGGCGTTCAACCGCTGCTGAAGCACCGTAACCACATCACTTAGCTGCTGAACGGCGTGGGTCAAGGCCTGGTTCTCCTGGGCCAATGCCACCAGCGTAGCTGCCTGGTCAGCCATGGCCTCTAGCTCTTCCCGAACGCACCCCAACGAAGGGGGAGTGCGGGTGGGGCGGGAGCAAACTGTGCTGGTCCAGGGGGGAGGTTACCGTGGGGCGAGGTCCAGGACCTGAGTCGAGGGTCGGCAGACAGTCCTCCACGGGCGAAGTGGGGTCCACAGCGAGGAGCCGGGCAAGGACAGGAACTCTGGGGGAACAGGACTGGGTGCTGGCCGAAACAGCTCTTCAACGATGTTGCTGTTGGGATACTGCCAGGGAGATAAAGTCCATCATGGCCCCCAAGCCGGCTGCCGGACGATCCATCGACCTCCCGTAGACACGCAGTATCAGCAATTAGCGACATGAGCTCCAGAAGATTCTAGAGCCGATGCACACTCTTTATCAGCAGATAATGCACAGCAGAAGTCGCACTCAGGAGAGCATTATTTACAAGTTTTATTCAGCGTTGATCAGAACAAAGAAGAACATGACTGCCTGCATCAGTGTCTCCAGACACACACAGAGAAACGAAAGCAATAGGAAACATAAACATCCTGTGAACAGGAAATGCGCAGACTCTGTGACTCACAAAGCCTGCTCCCTCTTAAGGTGGAACGGAAATATCCTAACATCCTCCCCCTTTCCGTGTAACCTGTAGTACCTGTGGTTCAACCCAATTGCAACTTCTGTACATAAACCTTAAGTTGTTCTCTGTTAACAACCTTAGACAACAGATCAGCAGGAATTTCATTTCCTGCCATGTAGGACACCTAAATGAGTCCTTTCTCAATACACTCTATGCACGATGTAGCTTAATCTGCAAGTACTTGGTTCTTTGCTTGCAACTCTTTGAGTTCAGCAAAGCCAAACAGGATCTATTGTCTTGATACACTTGTACAGGACATTTCACAAAAACTCCGATGTCCTTAAACAGTTGCATCAACCATTCACAATCCATGAGTGAAAATGACAGAGCATTGAGTTCTGCTTCACAGGAACTTAGGCTCACTGTTGTCTGCTTCTTGCACAGCCAGTCAAACAGACAGTGGTTGTACATGTAGCATACTCCAGAAGTGCTTGTACCATCCGTGGTGTCACTTCCAAAACTTGCATCTGCAAAGATTTCAAGACCTCCAGTCTTTTGACTGGTGAACCTCAGCCTGTAGTCCATAGTCCCTTTCAAATAGCGGGCTATGCGCTTCAGAGCTTTCCAATCCTGAACAGTAGGATTATTCGCATGTCTGCTAAGCAGGTTAGTGCTTACAGCTATGTCAGGTCTTGAGCATCTAGCAATGAAATTCAACTTGCCTAGAATGCATCTGTACAGCGTAGTGTCAGAAAACGCTTCAGCAGTACTGTCTACCTGGTAACATGTCACCATCGGTGTGTCTGCTGGGTTTGCATCAACCAAATTCAACCTGGTTAATACATCAGCAATTTTCTGTGTTTGGTGTACCAGAAAATTACCTGCTTGGTCCCTCTCCACCTGCAGAGAAAGATAGTTGGATACCTCACCAAGATCCTTCATGTCAAAGTGCTCCTTCAGCTGAGCTAGGGTGCTTTGGTACAAAGCCTGATTCTTCCAAAACATCAGAAGATCATCAACAAAACATAAACAATACAGTTTGTTTTGCCCTCCTCCTTGACAAACACACACGGATCAGCTTTGCCCTGGTGAAAACCTAGAGAAAGCAACGTCTCAGTGAGCTTTGTGTTCCAACACCTGGCACTCTGCTTGAGACCATATAAGGATTTCCGCAGTTTACAGACCATTCCCTTCTGTATCTGCATTCCATCATGTGGAAGCATAAACAGCTCCTCCCCCAAAATCCCGTACAAAAAAGCTGTATTAATGTCATGATGGGAAACATGCAGTTTCTCCTCTGCAGCTATCTTGAGCATCAGCCGAATGCTCTCATATTTGATGGTGGGTGAGTAGGTCTCGTGGTAATCCTGTCCTGGTACCTGTGAAAAACCTCTGGCAACCAATCTGGCTTTGTGTCTGACAACCTTGCCATTCTGGTCTGTCTTGGCCTTGAAGACCCATTTGCTGCCAACCAGTCTCATTCCTGGGACTACCGGTACCAGTTCCCAAGTTTGGTTCCTATTCAAGGAATCAACTTCAGCCTTCATGGCATTAAGCCAAGGCTCAGCATCTTTAGAGGTTAACTCCTGAACCTCTTTGAAGCTTGAAGGTTCCCACACCTTCTCTGAGCTACTAAGAACAGCAGTTGCTGTCATAGCAAACTCATCAGCAAATCTCTTTGGAGGCCTGCCCTTCGTCGCTCTTTCAGCTCTGTGTACTAGACGCAAGTCTTCTGGACTCATCTCCTCCTTCTTAGGAGAAAAGTGACCAATGGTGAACAGTGGTTCTTCCAGTTCATTGTCAGACGCATCAGATGGTCTGACTGAGGCCTTTGCGCTCTTGTAGTCTGCTGTGTCATCACTGTCGCTGACACCAGCAGCAGCACCGCCCACTGAACTGGAATCCGAACTCTGATCATCATCATCCTCAGCTTCCTCAGCTTCCTCAACATTATCTGCTTTCTTCACATCACCTTCATCCTCCTCTGGGTAACTCTGGAAAATTCCCACATTTTCCCCCCACTTAGGATTGTACTCAACACTCTTTGTGAACTTAATGGACTTAGAGTCAGTCATCCATACCCTCTATGCACCTTTTTCGTACCCCATGAACAAACCATGTGCCCCACGCTTCCCAAGCTTGTTGCTTTGTGGGGTGTGTACCCACATGTCAGAACCAAAGATTCTCATGTGCTTGATGTTGGGTTTCTTACCAAACATCTTCTCATAGGGGGTACAACCATTAGGTGATGACAATCTGCGATTATAAGTGTAAACAAACGAGTTCAAAGACTCCCCCCAAAACTTCTCAGGGAAATTGGCATCATGCAACAAGGTTTTCAGTCCTTGCAGCAACGTTTGATTTGCTCGCTCCGCAAGTCCATTCATCCATGGCGATCTAGGCGTTGACAAGTCATGCTGGATTCCCTTCTCAGTCAGGAAAGCTTCAAACTGCTGAGAAGTGTACTCCCCGCCTCGATCAGTAAAGAGACAGCCAATACGTTTACCGTGAACATTCTCCAACCAAGCACAGAATGCCTTGAACTTCGGAAACGCTTCTGATTTCTGCTCGAGCATAAACACATGAATGTACCTGGAAAAAGAATCAATTAGAACCATGAAGTACCTTGCTCCACCCAAAGAGGGCGCAAGTGGACCAACCAGGTCTGCGTGCACTAGCTGATAGGGTTTGGAAGCCTGCCTGCTAGACTCCTTGCCTTTTGGAGCAACCTTCACCTTGTTCTCTGCACAAGATACACATTTCATGTGAAACTTACAGGGCTTGATGTTCAAATCCTCAACCATCTATGGCATCTTGGCCAGAGCCTTCCAAGAGAGGTGACAAAATCTTCTGTGTGCCTCATGAATGCATCCTGCATGAAGAACTTTGTTAGTTTGTGCAACACAAGAATCAACATTAGACACAACAGCACCATTGTCATCATAAGTTATACAGAACAAGCCATCTATAAACTTTGCATGCAAAATGTCCTCTTTGCCTTTTCTGATGACACAAACGCTCATCTTGAAGGAAATCTCAAAACCACGCCCAGTAAGCTGTGGGACACTGAGCAAGTTGTCTGCAGCGCCTGGAACATAAAGTACATCTTTGATGGTAGCTTGCAGACTTGCCAGTTTCACAGTCCTTTCTCCTGCGATTCGCAACGTCTTTCCATCAGCCAGGTGGATCTCACCTTCTTGAGGTTTGAAGGAGATAAATAGATGGCGGTCCTTTGAGACATGGCGGGTACACCCCGAATCTACAATAAATCTGGCCTTGGCCTTTGGAGCAGCCTTTGCAGCAAGCAAAACCTTGTTTTCCACCGGCGTGGGCTTTTGCAGCTTGCCCCCCTGCTCCTGGCCATCAGACTTGCCTTTAGCCTTTGGTGAAGCTGTGCCAGCAAACAAAGCCTTGTTTTCCACTGGCGTGGGCTCTTCACCCCCCTTCTGCTTCGGGCCATCTGCAGGCATCTTGCTCTGTTTACCTCTGCCCTTCCGGCCTTTGCAAAGGCGATGACCTTGGTTCTCACAAGAAATAGAGTTCTCAGCTGCTCCCCCTGGAGGCTGGAATGCTGCCTGGGATGACATCACAGTCAGCTCCCCCTACAGCTTGCAATCGGTGCCCTCAGCATCCCTGCATTCACTCGCATTCTGGGAAACAGCCATGACCTCCGATGCAGTCAAACTCTGGGCTGGGATGATTGGCAGATGGGCTACTTTCAAAGCATTCCACATCTTACGTGCAGTCGTGTTGCCAGCTAGCGTGGCAATTTCCTCCAGAGAGACGGACAAGACTATTACGTCTATGGCCCTCGAATCTTGGGCCCTCCATCTATCTGTCAGAGGAACTGGAGGGGCTTCAGACACAGTATGCCACACTCCAAACTGACACAGCAAACTCTCACACCACACAGCCCAGGTCTGATAATTGTGCCGATTTAACTTTGGGCACTGAGTGCCATCATCTGAGGCTTGTAAAAACTCCATTCCAGGTTTTTACTTGAGCCGTGAGCCTTTATGCCTTCAAAAAGTTCTTATCTCGGCAGCTCATAAATCACGAAGCCTCTGGCGTGGCTCCCAGGCCAATTAAGCCAGCCGGAGTTCAAAGACTCTTCCGCGGCATCAGAAAAGCCTTACTTTCACTTTTCCCACACATACCTCACATCAGTCTTTTGCAGTCTTACTCTCCTGTAAGTGCCGTGAATCTGGGCCCGAAACCTGTTGTTGGGATACTGCCAGGGAGATAAAGTCCATCATGGCCCCCAAGCCGGCTGCCGGACGATCCATCGACCTCCCGTAGACACGCAGTATCAGCAATTAGCGACATGAGCTCCAGAAGATTCTAGAGCCGATGCACACTCTTTATCAGCAGATAATGCACAGCAGAAGTCGCACTCAGGAGAGCATTATTTACAAGTTTTATTTAGCGTTGATCAGAACAAAGAAGAACATGACTGCCTGCATCAGTGTCTCCAGACACACACAGAAAAACGAAAGCAATAGGAAACATAAACATCCTGTGAACAGGAAATGCGCAGACTCTGTGACTCACAAAGCCTGCTCCCTCTTAAGGTGGAACGGAAATATCCTAACAGTTGCTCCCGCAACCTGGGGCCGGGCTGACTGGCCTTTATCATCTCTGAGGCCAGGGGCGGTCCCGGCCCCCAGTTGACCCGCCTCTCCTGGCCTTAAGGCGAGCACTCCTCCTGGGAGAAACCAGTTCCCTCCGCCTCTCTGCCCTGAGCCTCTGCAGCTCAGGAGAGGCCGGTGGGTTACTGGACCCAGGGGGAGACTCACTTTCCCCTGACAGGGCTGGGAGAGGTGCACCTGTAGGCAATGCGTCCTCAATCACCTCCGGAGCCAGAGTGGATTCACCTGGTGCCTGCTCCTGAGGATCTGGCACAGGTGCAGGCGCTTCAGGATCAAGGCCCTGCCCCAGCTCAGCCGGCCCTGGAGGCGGGGACACCTGTGCAGGCTGGGATTCTTCCTGTTCAGCCTCTGAATCGGATTCCCAGGCCATCACAGATTGTCTCAGTGGGAAGACAAGGTTTCTGTGGACTAAGGAGGTGCAGAAGGGCTTTGAAAGCTTAAAGAAGGTATTTGCGTCAGAGGAACAGCTCCCGCATGTGGATCCTGACAAGCCCTTGCGGGTGGAGACCGACGCTTCAGACTGAACCATCGGCGCAGTCCTGTTGCAACAAGATGCAGGAGGAGATTGGAGACCTTGTGCCTTTTTCTCCCGGAAGCTGAACAAATCGCAGCAAAATTACGCCATTTATGACAAAGAATTGCTGGCCATTTATGTGGCTTTTAAGCTGTGGAGACACTTCCTGATTGGGGCGCAGCAGCAGATACAGGTGCGGACAGACCATAAGAACTTGGAATATTGGAGCACTGTGCATGTGATCTGCCAGAGGCATATCTGTTGGGCGCAGTTTTTTGCCAATTTTAACTTTAAGATTCAATACGTCCCAATCAGACAATCAGTTATGGGCACCGATAAACGCACAGAACGTGAGAGCAGATGCGCTATCCCGGAAGCCTGAGTACCTGGAAGATGACGGGTCCCCCGTGGCCAGACATATGTTCCAGGAGGACAAATGGACCTGTGGGGGAGCACTGGCAGGAGAGGCAGAACTGGTGAGGCTCACCAGAGACAATGACTTTGCTCAAAGGAAATTTGGTGAGCTCAGGGAGGGGCTGGGAGTAGATGGGGGCTTTGAGGAGAAAGGGGGGCTGTTGTTCTACAAAGGGGCACTGTATGTACTGGGGAGCCCTTAAGGGTCAGAGTCCTCAAGCAGCTCCATGACAACCCTAAAGCTGGGCAACACAAGACTATGTTGTTAGTTATGCGGATTTTTGGTGGCCCAAGGTAAGGGAGTGTGTGCGGGACTATGTACGAGGATGTGACATGTGTCAGAGGGCAAAGAGAGAAAGGGAGGTTCCAGCGGCGTTGCTAGAACCCTTGCCAACACCCAGGAGGCCATGGGAGGTGGTGTCCATAGACTTCATGACAGACCTGCTCATGTCCAGAGGTAAGATGGCGGTCATGGCGGTGGAGGATCTGCTGACCAAGATGTGTCACTTTGTGGCATGTTCTCATGTGGCGACAGCAGAGGAAACCACCAAGTTGTTCGTGGATCACATCTTTCGGCTGCATGGGGTCCCTTCTAGGGTAATTTCTGATCGTGGAAGACAGTTCCCCTTGCGTTTCTGGCACAAGCTCATTAGTTTGTTGCAGGTGGAGGTGAGCTTCTCGACAGCAAGGCACCCACAAACTAATGGGCAGGCGGAGAGAGCAAATGCCATTTTGCAGCAGTACTTGCACTGTTACGTCAATCAGAGGCAGAATGATTGGGTGGAGAAGCTAGCACTGGCAGAGTTTGCATACAATAATGCTGAACACGGGTCCACGGGGATGAGTCCCTTTCTTGCCAATTACGGGTGTCATCCCAGGGCCTTTCCAGGGCCAGGGGAGGAGGAATGGAGTGTACCGGCCATAGAACAATTTGCAGAAGAGATGGAGGCCATAACACCAACAGCTCAAGATGAATCTGGAGAGAGTCAA